TTTTTTCCGTGAAAGGGGGAAGAAAAAAAAAAAAAAAAAAAAAAGAGATTTGCAGCTCTGTGTCTGTCATTTCTCAACCAAGGTCTGTAATAAGAACACTAAAATTTTAACATACTCAATTCACGGCCATGTTGAATCCCATGATAGTTAATTTTTCCTGACAGACTCGGTCCTGGTAATGAACAGGTACTTGTCAGACTTGCCACAGTTGTTTTGGGTTCTCTGTCAGTTTCAGCAGCTGGGGGTCAGGGGTCACCGGGGGGGTGTATTCAGCGGAGACCGCGAGACAGACGGCTGTCATGTCCTTTTCCTGCAGATTCAAAATGGTGAACAGAAAGCCTACGTCTTGAAAAACAAGCAGCTGACAGGGCCAACAAAGGGGGTCATCTATCTTGAAATAGATGTGATTTTTAATGCTGTAAGTCTTAACTTTGGCTTTTTTGTACTGCTAAAGAGTTCAGTTTCATGAAAGCTTTTGTTCCTGATTTGTAGAGAATTTCTGTCATTCCTCATTTTCTCTAAACCTTGATGTATACTACAGAATACTCTTCTGCCACTGCCTGGCACACCCACTCTTTTTGTTGCTGCTGCTGCTGCTATTGCTGCTAATGTAAGGAACAGCAACTCATGCCTCTGTGTACATTTATCTGTCGTGGGCTTGGCAGCCGTGACTTTGAAACTTCATAATTTTTGCAAATTGAAGCATGTGTTATTAGTAAGGAGTGAGTAAGCTTGAAATATTGACACACATTTTAATGCATAGGTGAAAGCCAGCATACGAACCTTAATGCCCAAAGAACAGAAGTACATTGAAGAGGAAAACAGACTGTCTAAACAGGTAAAGAGTAAGGAAACACTAATCCTTTCCGAAAGCCTTAATATCAAGTGTGCACATCCAAATATCTGGTATCATACTGCTGAGGGTAAAGAATAACATTTTCATTACACGTTTACAAAAGAATATGATAGGTCAGAAAAGGCAGAAACAAAATACATGGGTTTATTGTGTCTACTCTGTAAATTGCAGCCTAATTTCCATGAAATACGTGAATAAGAACACAGTTGAAACCATCAGGTTCCACACATATCAGATTATAGCACAGGTGCATGTAAACTAAGTCTTGCATAAATTTTTGGTGTTAACCTTGACCTGAAAGATCTCCATTTGTTGCAGGGTAGAGAGTCTTTCAGCATTCTTTTAGCCAAATTTTAAATAAGTTAGTTGAGTGAGGTTTGAATCAAAGGTGAAAGGAGACTAAAACTGTATTACTTTTGAGAGTCCTGTGAGTAGGAAATGTCTGGACTTTTTTCTTTTTTTTCTGGATATTTTTGTGACTCTCAGTTTTAATGTTTTGGTCAAAAATATTTAAACACACATCTTATCTTTTTCTCCACTTGAACTACTTTTGATTCAGTTTTTCATGTTCCACAAATGATCTGTTTTATATAGAGAGAACTGGGCTTTTGGTTGGACTGTGGGAACAAGGTACTTGTTGTTTGCAGTGAAAAGGCAAAGGTCTCAAAACAGTTATTTTATTTTGCTGAAAGCTTATAGACTTGAGCATAATTTAAATTATCTGCTGGATGAATTTTATGTCAGTTGTATAATGTATTTCATTAAAAAAGATTTCAAGAGGCAAAATATTTCTTTCTTTGCTCTTGTGACTAATGCATTTTGCTGCATTTTGCACTGCTATTCCAGCAAAGAAAGAGCAAGGCCTTTTGTTCAAGATTCATTCTTCTCCCCACTTCCATAACAGAAAATGGTATTGTGCTTTTTGCAGATAGCAGGAGAAGTAAACTTTACCACTTCAGATTGTTTTTCTTTAAATTAGTTTGCATGGGATACCCCACCACAATACCACTTAAGGCAGGGGGAAAAAAGGAAACTTTATGTATGACTGATGCAGTTGCATTTTAAAACATCCACATTTTCCAAGAGTGAATGCATCTTACCTACCTAGCATTTTCTGTGCTACTCAACACACAAATTAAATCATTCACTGTTTTTTTCACTTGTTTGTGGTCAAGTGTGTTGCCATTTTAGAGGATTTAAGGGTTGTCCTGAATCAAAATCCAGCACTGTTATGCCTCATTTTTATGTAGGTTGAATGTATGCAGTTAAAGTTACTTTAATAAATACTTAAAACGTGGTCAAATTTGTTAAAAATGAAGGACAGATTGGATGTGTAGGGTACAGGTGATCTTAATTAGATTACAGCAGTAATTTTGCATGGTTTCAGGTTAGTGTCTTACAGTATCTTTTTATTAAGAAAGGCCAAAATTTGTTAAGTACTTTAGAATGAGGAAAGTCTTATCTACTTAATAATTAACTCTGAAATCTTAATAACAAAATAATTTGTGAAATTTTGCAAGTGGCTTTTAAAAATTGAACAACAATTTATGTACCATTTAGAATTAAATTCAACAAATATTGATTGACACAACTAACATTCTCTTCCAAGTCTCTCAAATTTTAAACTATCTTTCTCAATTTGTGAGCTAGAGAGCTTAGCATTTTATTTTCTCTATCTTCACTGAAAGTAAGAATGACAATATTGTAAGCATGAGCCTCTTCTGAAACATTTGGGGGTTTGAAACATTTTTATTCTTTCATCTTTTTAACAGCTACTGTTAAGAAACTTTATCCGGATGAAGCGTTGTGTCATGGTGCTCATAAATGCCGCCTACTACATTAGCAGTTGCTTTGACTGGGATTCTCCCCCAAGAAGTCTCGCTGCTTTTTTGGTATGATCTTCTTTATATTATTTTTAATCACACTGGTGTATTTGTGTTCTAGACTGAGAAATAATATAGTGTTGATGTGGGGGGTTCCAATTTTTTCTTTTTTTTTAGAAATTTAAAACTTTGCACTATGAAGATACCAGAAATCATGTTTACTCACTTTTTTTAAAAAAAGTAATTAAGTTTAGAATGTCACACAAATAAGATAGAAAGTTGGGGTTTTTTTCTAATTTATAATTGTACAAATACCATAAGTGATACAACTCAAAATACAGTCAGTGAACTATAGATCTATTTTGAGCTTCTCACACATTACTTCTGTTAAATTTTGTTTGGCCCCCTTGTATATTGCATATTTACTGTAAAACTGGTTTTGAATCTTTTGCGAATGCTTTTGCATTTCATGAATATAAAATTAGTGTTATTTTGTCCTCCACATATCAATATACATTATGCCTGTAACTTTTTTAGAACTACAAAGCTCTGGACCCAAAGAATTGCTTCCTTACTAAGATTTAGTGTTCTTGGTTAAAAAAATAAAACAAAACGAAATAAAACAAACACAACTTTAAAATCATTAATGCAGACAAACTAGTACCTTTTAGACATCAAGCTCTGGTCATAGTTCACTTTTTAGTGAATTCATTTTTAGTGATTTAAATGAAACTGCTGTTTCTCCATAAACATTAGCTTCATTAATATTAACCTGTATTTTCCTGTTAAATTTTGAAAATTCCAAGCATAATTGTAGATTACATTGTGTTCCCCAGATTAATATCTTTTTGTTTTCAAAATCATGTGAACTACAAACATGACCAGAGTCACTGTTTGGTTTTTGCCTGAGGGAGTCCCACAAGGAGTAAAAATGTATACATGGACACGCTTTCTGGAACATCTGCATTTATTAAGTTGGCTGAAATACTGAAGCTATGATGAGTCATGTCTCTACCATGACTATGAACAGGGAATGTTTTCAGTCTTTCTTTGAATAATTATAGAGGGAGTCTGTTGGCAGTACTCATAGCTTGGTTGCCTAAAGCTCAGGTGCCTCAAATTTGGAGACATCAAACCAAGCATTGGAGCTGGCTGCACTGGAGCAGTAAAATGGGGTATTTTGCTGTGTCACTAAATCATGCTGTTTTGCAGGAATTTTCTTCTAGCAGGGCTCAGTTTGTACTAAGTGACTTGTTAAACCCCCCTGTAGCCTGTCAAAGGATGACAGCAAGCTGTCGGTCCATGGTTGCAATGTTCTTCAAGAGTACAGGAGATACACATGTTGTTCAAACTCTCAAACTTTACTTTTACTGACATCTGTAGTACGTACACTATGTGCAAAACTCTAAATATGCTTGCTACTGTTTAATTTAGAAAAATGATCTGTTACTACTTCAGTTTAAAATTATCAAAATTTCATAGGAAAATGTGTGTTTCTATGTAAAACTCAAATGTTCATGTTGCTATTACTGCTCCAGCTAGTAAATACTCATCTGTCCAAGTCTGATTTTAATATGGATGTGAAACATGCACCTGTAATTGATGGAAGAAAGGAAATGGAAAGACATCCTATTCTTTGGGGCAAATGGAATTACTTCTTTCTCATGGTATGCTGCTCTGGCCATGGAAGAAGTTGTGTTGCTTTGAAATTGTAGTTGTTTCCAATCATAGAAGACATTCAGTGTCATAATAAGTAGTTGGAAATACGTAAACAACAGAATTTGAGCAGAGGGGTCTGTAGTGAGTATATGTCATTATTGTAGTTATAGTGTATTGCAGTAGAAACGTATTCCTGATTTTATTTTTATATATATTCATATATATATATTTGTATCTATATCTCAAAAGCCTGCGTTTCTTAGTTTCATTTTAGTATTTGTTTTGCTATGTGGTGGTTGTGGTAGTTACAGACACATTATGTCTGCATCAGTGCTGTGACTTCACAGATGCGTTCCTGCTCTGCATCCAAAGTGCATCCTGTGCTTTTCAACCTGATGTTATTCTGTCCAAGGATCAAATCATCCCTCTGTTAAGCAAAACATTGATAAGTTTTTGTTAACAAAGCCAAATCTACATGAAGTTCTATCATGATCATAAGCTTTGGATTTAGATTGCTTTTGGAGTTTCATAGCTATCATAGGCCCTTGAAAAATCTTGAGAGTGTTCCACTTGCATGTGTAATGCTGAATTATGCTTGCACTAAGGTTATGCTGGAATTTAATAGTTTCTATAAAAAACCTGTATTATATGTATCATTTTCATCTCTTCACTATTATACAAATCGTATCTCCTCTTGAAGTTGTCTCCCAGAGGTTGGAGAATGTCACAGTGAAATGTCAGTGCCAGAAAGGAGATGAGATGAGAAATAGGCTGTTCTGGAGGTTTCCAGCTCTGTAGGCAAACTAATAAATAATGTACAAGAAGTAAACTTTTAAACTAATCATTTTTTTCTTCCTGTTGGATTTGAAGATGTACCTTGATGGATAACATCCCGATACAGATTGACAACCATTTCACGTAAGTTACATATGTGAGGGTTGATTTTTCAGATCTCCCATTGCCCCACGTTCTTGGTGTTACAATTACAGGTACCCTTTTCTTGTACCTCACCCTATGTCTTTACTTTCTGATGGGGCCACTGGTACGGAAGACCACCAGTGAAGAAATTCTGACAGACTAGCTCAGTTTTCAGAAACGTAGGAAGTTAGTTGTAATTAAGGAGCGATCTGGAAACAAGGACTACTCTTGGAAACCTGCAGAAAGCCTTCATTAATGTGGTGACTATAATAAGCTAGAGTCATCTGCTTTATGCTCTTTTCCCACTGAAGTGTTCACTGCAGGTATTTTAAAGTCATTCTCCTTAGAGAGTCACAATGTTAGTAGTCAAGACTAAAAGTGTTCATTGAAGGGACTTGCTGATTATTTATAATCCAGAACTTAGCTGTCTCAAACCTTTACATCATTTGGGACATTTTAGGAAAGGAAATGCTTTATTAAAGGTTTAGGATGGTTCTTTCTCAAATCTGCCCAAAGGCACCAGCTCAATGACTGATGTTGCCCATAGAATCACAGAACGCTTTGGGCTGGAAGGGACATTTAGAGGCCACCCAGCCCAACCCCCTGCAGCGAGCAGGGACAGCTTTAACCAGCCCAGGGTGCTCAGAGCCCCGTCCAACCTGGCCTGGGATGGTGCCAGGGATGGGGCCTCCACTGCCTCTCTGGGCAACCTGTGCCAGTGCTTTCCATGCTGTACCTAGAAGTACAGAAACCTGGAAGTTAAGTTTTCAGTGTTCTAGGTTATACATTTCCTCAACTAAACAATATTTTACCTGTTTCTGTTGAACTTCATAAGCTCATTGCCTTCACTGAGGATTTTGCTTGAATGACTTAAGGTTTTGACTCCTTTTTTTTTTCTGTGCCTCAGTAATTCACAGCCGAAGAATAATTGCTACCCAGACATAGTTTTTTATATTTTTGTGCTAATATAATCTTGACATTTTATTAGCTGTTATTATTTAGATATTCAAAAGTATTTGTAAATAGCTTATGAAGTGTAGGTTGATCTGGCTAGAGTATGACTTTGGATTTGAACCATCAGGAGTTTTATATTCTCCCCTCCTTTTTCATATTTATTCCCTGTTAAATAAAGGAAGTGTATAGCAACAATGTTAAAGTAATGTCTCAGTTCCAGAACAGCTTTATTATATCACATATATCTCTGTTTTGTCTAGAGGCAGATCAAGAATGTGTCATGTGTTTGTGTTTATGCTTCTTAAGCACTTCCATGGAATAGAAAAGAATAGAATACATAGAGAGAGCCTTTGCTGTAAAGTCACGTGATTTTCTTTATTTAAAAGAGACCTTTGGATTATTTAGCAGTTAATCTTTATATATTTTTAATTCAGTAATTAATATGGTATGTTTCAGGCAGAAGAACTTTATTAGAGTATGCAAAAGTGAATGTTTTTTCTTTATATTAATCTACTGTGGGCACTGAAATGTCTACTAAATTGGGCCTAATTTCCATCAGCTTCTTGACCAGACATTTGTGTTCTTACAGATGTCAGTGGGTGCAATGCAGGGGGAAAAAAGTGTACACTCTTTTTTTCCACTACTGTCATTTCTCACTGTAATGAGCACAAAAATAATTGGACAACTGAGCTATCAGTAAAAGGACACACTTCAATGTGAGTCAATGAATTATTTTACGGGACAAACTTTAATCTTTAAATGTGATTGTAGATAATTTGTGCTACCATCTGTCCATTTGGAATTCTTTTAGCCTTTTCAGTTGTTATACAGTAAGTGCTGCTGTGTTTAACATTAACATTTGATATTTTACACATTTAATTTCTGTACTGCTGCGTGGTCCTTGGGGAGCTTCGCTCTAGTGCTACATGAGAGAGACAAAGTATTGATCAGTTAACATTTCAGCTACGTTTATGTATGTCGCAAAATTAATGAAAATGCCAGACAAAAATGTCAGAGTGCACAAAAAGGTAGAATTTAAATTTGGTAGTTTAATGAAAAGTTTAAGATGTGCATTATCAAAAATGTCCCCTTGCCTTTAAAGTACAATTCATAACTGAGTAACTAAAGGGAACCACATATTTTACTTAGAGGAACATTGAACATGAAATATGAGGGAATAGATAATCTTCAGAGTGTTTGGTATCCCAAAATGGCCTCAGTAAAGCATTTTAATTGCCTGCTTGAACATTTAACTGTTACTCATAAAATAAACTTGTTTCCTTTCTCATTTGGAAGCAGAGGACCCTCACCTGAGCACACGCGTATTTTCTAGTATGTCCTCAAATTAGAGCTTTCTATGAACATGTTCTCCTATTCCTCTTCTTATTCCTCTGAATCTTTCTATACATGCGTATGCACGCACATAGAAAATACTTTTCCTTCTTAGCCTTTGAAATACTGATAAAATTACTTGACCTGCATCCAAGTAATTTATCAGGTCTAACTCACCTTCACTTTGTCTTCTAATGTTACACAATTCATGT